TCCTGTGATTCCCTTTCTGGCTGTCTACCAGTCCATTTCACCTCCGCCACATCAGATCATTTGTGATCTGATGGCTGGGAAGCACTCTGCCGTGATTTCCGGTGGCAGGTCTCTGTTTCTTTTTTTTTCTTTTGCCTTTCTCCTGTTTTCTCAGCCCAGAAATGCGTAATGAACCTCTCAGCCCGCTGCCAGTCAGTGTCACACTGGATCGGCCACACTCCTATTCAACTGCTAATGGGACCATGCTCCAGGGACATTGTCCCATATGCACCATTGAGTTGAGGTAACTCTACGGTGTGACCTAAAATGCATTCTTTTATTCAGAAGAAATGCGATATTGCTTTTTTAATTCAAGAATCGGGAATAAGGGTTGGACCCCACGGCCGCGCGGAGGATTTTCGTCCTTCCCACCGCCGACGGCAATTTTCCTTCGCCAGCGGAGATGCGGAGTTGGAGGGGATCCCACCGCGCCCGTTTTTTTTCCATCCCCGGTCGTTTCGGTTTCCCGAACAGGAAAGTGGCAGAGGACTTTCCAATTCGGGCAAGGCGTTATGGGTGTTCGGTGAGGCTGCTGTGGACCTGGGTACAGGACGCCATTCCGCGCGGCTGTCCTTGGGCGACGTTGTGTGGCATGCGGCATCGTGGGTGGAGCAGCACCCCGCAGAAGGGGTCGACTTCGGTTCGGGAACCGATGCAGCCCTTTTGCGACCGTTGGTCAGGGCCGGTTGTTCCAGGGCAAATCCTCAAGTCCAGGTGGGAAAAGGCATGCCCCGGCACAGCTCCCCCGGGGGAGGAAGAGCTCACCAGACTGTGGAAACAGCTCAAAGCTATCCCCTGTCAGAAACTTGCAAGTCTGCTATGGCAGCAATCCCACCTTGTGACCCCAACGGCAGTCTGGCTGAAAGAACGAGGAGCACCGGGAATCCAACAAGCCTGTGACAGATGCGGATGGTTACACGAAGATATGAGACACATGTGGTGGAGCTGTCCGACTTCGCAGAAAGGCTGGCCATGGTGGTCGTCTCACTGGAAACGGTTAACGGGCAGGAATGATCTGGCTGATGAAAAGTGGGTTCTTCAAGGAGTGCTCCGCCAGACCTCTCTGGAGAGAAAGGCTGGGGTTACATTGCTCAAGTGGGAAGAGCAGTTATGATGTGGGTGATCTGGATAGACAGGAACGGCCGGCGGTTCCGAAAGGAGGGGCTTTCAGACAGACAAGCTGAGATCCTGTTCAAAACAACTCTCTCCAACGAGATCAAGGCTGACTGGCGAAGGAAATGTGGAGGAAAAACGTCAGGGGCAGGGCTACGGTGGTTCAATCGCACATGGTGCAAAGGCAACAAGCTGGCCAAAATTGGGCAGGGTCACAAGCTTATCCTCACCCAGTGGTTGAGCAAGTATGGTAGGGAAGCCGCGGCCCAACAGTATACGTAGGTATTAGGTCTTAGTTAGTCAACGTAGGAGTAGCAACCACGACACTCAGTTGCCTTTATGTCCAGGCCACAGTAGGCCAAACAGCGGTGGAGGGGGGAGAGTGTCACGTTACTCAGGAGCAGCAGCTCAACCCAGCCGTTGAGGCTGGTGTCCGCCATGTTAGGCTTGTGTTTTAGGTAGAGGCGTGCTAGATAGAGGTAGTGAGATCGAACCGTAGGGTAGAAGTAGGAGGGCAGAAGTAGAAGGGCTTGGCTATAATAGATGATAAGAATTTGAAGAATTTAAATTACAGGGAAAATATTTTGGGCCTCTGCTGCAGGCCGGATAAGAGGCTTTTAATCCTCTACTGAATTTACAGGTGATGAGTGAATCTGGCTAAGGCCTTGAGCTAAACCGGCTGATGCTGCCGGGATAACTCCGGGTTGAATTGTGAGGTCCCCGGCCTCTCCTCAGTGATTTCGAAATGAAATTGAATGCATTGGTTTAAAGGAAAAAAAAAAAGAAAAGAAAAAAAAAAGAAAGAAAGAAAGAATAGCACGGGCCCTGCGGATGCAAGGGTGACACGAATAAACCGAGAAATGGTTAAACTTGTGAAAGCAACTTCGAGACATCCGTTAAAATGGGAACGATATGGAGAAGATTAGATTAGCATGCCCCCTACCTGTGCAAGGATGACACGCATAAATCGAGAAATGGTCCAAATTTCTTGCAGTCTGCGTGCCATTACAGCATTTAAAAAAAAAAAAAAAAGAAGAGGTCCAAATTTCTTGCAGTCTGCGCGCCATTACGGCATTTAAAAAATAATAATAGTAATAATAATAATAATAAAAAAAGAGAGAGAGAGAGAGAGAGAGAGAGAGAACATCCCAAACAAAAAAAAAAGGAGAGAGAGAACACGAAACAAATTCGCGGGCAGCTTCTCAGGGGAAAAAAAAAACCAAAAAAAAAGGAAAAAAGCGAGAGCAGATCGATATAAAAAGGCCTACCGTCTTCACCCGGAAAGACCTCACTGGGCTATCGTCTTCACCCGGAACGATTTTCCGTCTAGATACAATGATAATGACCGGGCGTTTCATTCGGGTGAAAAGACGATAGCTCAGTTGGTACCAACTGTTGAACACACAGACCTGAGTATCTTTCCACACAGACCTGAGCATCTTTCCTATGGAATCAGATGAGCAATTTCTCTTAATTTACCTACCTGGGGCCGGTCAGATAAAATCTGATAGCTCGAGACTTTCGCCCTTTTAATTAGCACAAAAAGAACTAAAAATATAAAAACAGAACAATACAAAGAAGATAAGCATGGCTACACATTTCTCAGCCTTTTCGGGCTAAGATCAAGTGCACTGTATCTGTTCTGATCAGTTTAATATCTGATCCGTCGTCCATCGGAGCACTATAAAAAAAAAATTGTTAAAAAAAAAAAAAAAAACGAGGAGAGCAGAGATTAGCATGGCCACTGGACAAGGATGACATACACAGAAATCGACGGTGAAAAAAAAAAAAAAAAAAAAGAACCGAAGAGAACAGGGACCGGAGGCTGGAACACAGAACGGACAACTCTGCGGCCAGTTCGCAGGGAAACTCCCGTCTTCCCCCGAACACAACGCATCCTCATTTTGAATCTATCTGGACTACTAGTCTGTATACATTCATCATCAGCGTGCGTTATGTTCGGGGGACGACGGCAGCAAAGAAAATGGGGAGGGGGCGAGACAACAAGGAGAAAGAGAGAAAGAAAAAGAAGATCAGGACGTTCAGGACTAACGAGGCAGAGAACGTACACGGATGGCCTCATATTGTGGCCATGGAGGGAATGTGAATCCATGTACTCAGAACTCGGTTGCACAGTGAAAAAGAATGAAAAAGGAACTGGCTAATGGTCCCAAGATCCTTATCAGAGTTCTTTGGGAGGATGTCCAGGCCTCATCATTGTTTGGATTCACATCGATTGCCAGCTTTCACCAAGCGCAAATCCAGTTTATTTGAAGGAAAAAGAAATCAGATTGCAGGAAGACGCACACAGAGAGAGAGAGAGAGAGAGAGAGAGAGAGAGAGAGAGAGAGAGAGAGAGAGAGAGAGAGAGAGAAAGAAAGTGGACATCCGTTAAAATTGGAACGATACAGAGAACAAAAGCATCGCCCCTGCGCAAGGATGACTCGCATAAATCAAAAAGTGGAAAGCTCGCCACCTCACCAGCAGATGATTATTGCTCAAATCGATATAAAAGGTCCGTCAGAGAATTAGGGGGTAAACAACGAGGACGTAAAGGGCAGAGAGAGAGAGAGAGAGAGAGAGAGAGAGAGAGAGAGAGAGAGAGAGAGAGA